CGCTGCCTGTTTAAAGCACCTGCTGCCCAGGGACTGATGATCCCAGGTCTCCTCTGGATGGTGTCTAGAGCTGGAGCCTGTGGGCTCTCCGAGATGAGCTTCCACTGCCAGTTTCTACTTAGTGGAGGCACTGGGGGGGATTTTGTTCTTCCTCCAGTGAGCTCTATTCACGACACAGACAGGAACATCACATCCTTGAGCTCCCTGATGTGTGTCTCCATTTGGTCTGCTGTTAGAGGGGGACTAAGAGACACAGGCGTTGCACAATAGCTAAGACTCACTTCCTTAGGAAAATAAGCTAAAGATACTGTGCTGTGATGCAGCTCCGTGGCTTCACGGAGTAACATGAGGTTTCTGTACCACGAAGCACTTTGGCACATGAGCTTTCTCTTTGAAGAGGGGAGGGAGGTGTGTAAGGGTGGTCTTCATCACCACGTCCCCTGCCAGCAGGTCAGGTCAGGACAGAGCTGTATCTGGCAGGCTGTGCATCCCCTGTGCCCTTGACAGCAGCTTTCTCCTCACACCGTGACTCACGGCACCATGATCCATGCGGAGAAACAAAGGGCATTTCCAGCCTGCAGTTCCCTCTCTGCTCACGTCAGGTCTGAATCCGGGGAGGCTGTTCTTGCAGGCAGAGGAGAGGGCAAACCAGTCCATATGTGTGTGTGGTGAAGCAGCTCCCACGGCTCCCCTCTGCCTCTGAAAGTCCAGACTCCTCACTGGACTGCCCTAGCTTTTGAAAATGTTTCTTTTTCTAAACAATTAAGCATGTTTTTAAAATGTTGAGCTCTTCTTACTAGAAGCTTTTGCTAGTTCCCAGAACTTGCAGAGGATCGCAGGCCTATCATGTCTGCTAAGAAAAACAGTTCTTCTCATGTCTGTTCAAAAGGGAAATATTGACCAATATTAAGTAAGAAACAAACTCTCCCCGTTTCACAGGCAGTTATTGGAATGTGCTGGGTATTCAGATGATAACTTATGTCTGTAGCAACTTGCTGAGTGATGTCTTGAATCACGCTTTGATAAAGGGATGTGTTTGAAGTTGGTGAAGGCAGTCCCTTGCTATCAGTTCCTCTCCAGTGCTGTCACTGAGCTCTCCAGCCTTGCCTCTGGCAGCAGGCAGCCAGGCTGGAGCCCCGTTCCACTAAACCTAACACCCACCTGGCCTTAGTCTGTTATTGATTAAAACCAGGCATTGGAAAAAACAAAGAAAACAACCTTTTCCTGAACAAGTTTGCTTAATACAAACAGCAACTGTTTTCTCCCAGTGAATGTAAGCTGAAGAGCAAGACCCTTCCAGCCACCCATGGGGCCTAGCTCTGCGCAGGCCATGTCATGGGATTTTTGGGGTGTTGGCTTCTCTTGTTCCGGGGCTATCTATCTCCTACATAAACGGGGTTTAATTGCTCCTTCCATCAAGCCTGACAGCAGGGCGCTAACACACCCACTGGCTGGAAGCAGGCCTGTGACTCTCTGCAGATCAAAGATGATCCAACCTCACGGCCATGAGCACATTCCAGGGTAACGAGAGCCCTGCGAAAGGTATGGGGAGCCCTGTAGCCTCGCAGTGCTCCCCACCCACCACTGACTTCCATTAATTAATTAACTCTGCAGCTTTGTTCCCTTATCATAATCCTCCCAGCAACAGCACAATAAATTGTACTTGCAACAGATGCTTAAATGAGATGATCCCAGGTCTTTGCAACTTCAAACAAGGGTGGGAAACTCATAGCTTTGTGGTGATCTCCAATTCATTCATTATACAATCGGATCTTAATTGCTTTAAGAATATGAGTCTAGTAAACCTGGCCTCTAGTACCACTCATGTTAAAGACCAGTTGCTAAATCTCCACTGCTATACACAGTCTATCCCTTGGGGTCTTCTCTACTTCAGTGGGCTCTAAAGTATTGAATTATCTGTAGAAACTAGTGCTGTGTTCACCCACCCTGTATTTAACCACTGACTGGACAAATACCAAAATTAAGTTAGCTGTTTTGAGATAGTGAAGGAGAAAGCATTTCTACAGGGAAATAAATTTTAAATGAGGTACCTAAAATGACTAGACGAGTCATCCACTGGAGCTGTTTCATTCTACTAGCTATAAAGGAACACAAGTGCGACGTGCTTAACTTCGTTCCTGGGGACCAAATGCTTTTAATCTCAAGATTTTGAGAGGGGGGAAAGAGCCTTTCTTTTCTGATCCTTTCAAATTGTCAAGCATCACTTTAGTCAGAACATTGCCATTCAAGGCTCAGGAGCGTCTATCTGATTTACTCTGTGCTTGGCTTCCCCACTATTTCATCTGGGGCTGAGTTAGCAGCAGTTTTTAACAGCAGGAGCCCCAAGTTACAAACAGGTAACACAGAGTAACATCCTTGGGGTGGTTTTGAAGACGATTCTTTCTTAAAAAGCAAGACTGCTTTGACCAAACTCACACCAAAGTCCTCCTATCCACACAAAATGTGTCTAGATATAAACACAGTGCAAGGGACTGGTGCTGCTTATGAAAAATACAGAACCAGGGTCCTGCTGAATCCTGCGCTGCTGTCCCTGCTCAGAAACCTCTCAGGCACGCTCAGGTGTCACCAGAGGCAGCTCTGGTGACTCAGTAGGTGGCAGCCTTCACCTGGACTTTGCAAGGGGTTGTCACCCTGTGACATCACCCTGTGACATCACCCTGTGACATGGGGATGGCTGAACGCTGGGGACAAAGGTACCCTGGAGCCTGGACAAGGGCAGCTTTGAAACTTCACCCCGAGGTGCGAAGAGCCCCGTGGCAAAGTGTGAGAATAACTGGCCTCCTGGGCAACAAGTGGCCCTGTGGGCTGGCGGAGGTTTGCTGCCAGCATCTCTCACTCCACTTCAGAGGATCTTTATGTACAACCAATGCAATTAAAAAGACTAACTGGGTGGGTCTGGCACTGTGGAAGAGGTTTGGATGAACAGAATCACTGCTCATTCATATGGTCAGCAAGAAGAGGGAGCAGTATAGATTTTCCCTAGTTTTTTTGGGAAAAATTTGCTACAGGGAAGAAAACAGAGCCCACGAGAGGTGTGTTTTGGGAAAGGGACAGCTTGGGGAGTAAAGAGAACCTAGCAGAGCTTTCTGTGGGATGTAACCCACAGACTCATGAAGAGGGGAATGCTTTCTCCATGCAAGTCAACATCCATTCCTCAAGGAAAGTGGAAGGACAAAGTGTGGGTGTGGGGTCTGGCCATAGAGGAGGCAAGACAGGCTCCTGCTGCTGAATGGAATCACTCCTTTCAGCCTGCCTCCTCCTGGACCCAAGACTGGGCAACATCCCTGAGGGATCAGTTTGGTGGGGACAACATCCTCTGCCTGGGTGGGAGAGTGCTGAGCAGTAGGTGCAGGAGCCTCTTTAGGTGATTCAGCCTGGGCCAGAAAGACCCAGCTAACCCCAGCCTCAGCCTTCACAGCTTTTCAAACCCAAGGTGCTCCTAAGCATTGTAGCTTTTACTTGAATTGTGACACTGGACCCCTTTCATAGAATCATAGAATCATAGAATCATAGAATCATAGAATCATCTAGGTTGGAAGGGACCTTAAAGATCATCCAGTCCAACCATCGACCTAACTCTGACAAAAAAACCAAAAAAACCCCAATAAACCCCCCCCTCCCCAAAAACCCCACTAAACCATATTCTTGAGGACCAGGCCTTAATTACATCTGCCCTTCAATAGTGGGAGAAAAAAAAGATATGGCTATTGTGACACTGCAACAGGTTTGAAGAAGAACTTTTTTAAGAGCTTTCCCAAAGCTCTTAAAAGTTTCAGGTGCTGTCAAGCTGAATTTTTTTGAACTGTTCATCTGAAAACGAGAGGAGGAACCGTTACTAATGTGAGAAACCATCCTGGTTTCCTCAGTGGATACCAGCAACGCCTACCTTACTACTCAGCATTATGCCTGCCTACCCTTCTCTCTACCCCTGAACAAGCTTCAACGAAATAGCAAGCATATTTTCGGATTTATGCTCACGCTCCTGTCATTCTCTCACAATACCTTACATAAACCATCATTGCCTTTGGAGAGACGCCAAAACAGTTTGAAGGAATGTGTACAGGACCTACCAGAACAGGGTTTCCCCATGTTTCTGACTCTATAATCCCCTTATTCAAAGCTAAACCGTAGGTTCACACCTCCTGCACAGAAAAACTTTTCCAACTCCATCCACTGCCTTTAAAAACAAACAAGGAAACCCACATACTCATGCCCAGCTATTACCATGAAAGAGAAAACAAGAGACACAAAGCAAAAGAATTTGCCGCATGCAGATCTATAAAAGCTAAGTCCATGAGTGAGGAGACATTTGTTTTTGTTCCGTGTAGTCAAATATGTCCTAATGTTTCAAACACCTTCACTCTAAAATTGCAGCCGATTGCTTAGTCACAGGGGATTTGGTATTTATGCAAGGGCCTTTGCTGAGGCCCCAACGTGGTGACACTCCTAGACTACAAATGTAAGCAAAGGATCATGCGTGTGAGAAGCTGCCTGAAGTAAGGGGCTGGCAGGACTTTCCCACGACCACCCCATTGACACCAGAGATTGCAGAATCCCAAGCTGCAGCTGAGAATAGGCTCTGCAGGGTGAGCATCAGGTACAGAAATCATCGTGTGTTCACTAAATACACCGGTGACCGGCTCTGTAAGTGAGGAAAAACCCACTGCCCAGAAAAGGCCAGAAGCTGAGACTTTTACTCTACCCACTTTGTCTGCAAAGTGGGCCTGCCCAGTTCCACAGAAGACAACTAATGACAGGGGTGATGTCAGATATAACAGTTCCCAAGCTTTCTCAGTCAGCACATATCAGCTCTATTTGCCGTCCTTTGCACTTTCTGGCAGCCTCCCCTGCTCCCTCACTATCAGACTCCCATCTAAACAGCCACAAAGAACAGCCTGCTTCAGGCTGACATCCCCCGAGCCTGGGAACCGCTGCTCTGAGTCCCACTCCTGTTCTCCCGTAGGAAGTGGGGGGGTCACCTTAGTGTGGTTATTCCAAAGGGAGCCAGCTGTGGTGGGAGGATTACTAGAGGAGATGTGACAAAAGTGGGGACTTGCCTTCACTGTCGTCTTTCATCTTCCACAGCCTGCTCTATCCACAATGGCACCATCTTCATCTCTCGGTCAGTTGTTTGCCCTGGGAGGAGAAGACACAGTTAAAACATGAAGGTCAGAGCTAATTCCTCTAGCTTGTTTCCTTCTTCAGTGATTCCACAGACCTGCTCTTGCACTTTCTCACACCCCAGGTATCTCCTTGATCACCCACTATGTGAGGAAACGCACACCTTACAGCCCCAACGCGTTCCTCTGGGTGCAGCCATGTACGATGCAGATTGGCACCGTTGATGCCAGCACTGAGCGTGGCATGACAGGAGCAGATGTGGGTTGAAGTGGTTCCTACAGGAGGCCCTTGCATGCCCTGTCTATGCAGTTGGGTCCCTGGGCCCCACCACCTCCGTATCTCAAGGCTTTTGTAAGAGAAGCTGATTGAAAAAAGAGAACCTTTGCTTTTTCAGTGCCAGGCTCCACCTGGAAGCACAACGCCTTCCTTTTCCCTGCCTTGTGGATAACATGAAGATATCGGTGCACACATCACCCACAGAAGGCCTCACACACAAAGGTCTCATTTCTGCTTTTCCTCGTGCTGCTCCTCTGTGAGGAGGCACCTCCATGCCTGCCATCCAACTTAGCTTAATTCTCTCTCGACTTTCCCCAGTGGGACTGAGCTGGGCACTAGCACAGAGCAGGGACTGAGGGGCAGTTTTTGAGGGAGCTGGTTTCTCTGGAAAGATTTCTCCTGATGATGCTGGATGCTTGGAATTGCTGGTGAGCTCAGGGGTGTATCTGGGCTCTCTGCAGCTCTGAGTCCTGATGGCATCCACACTGCGGGGCCTGGCCGCTGAACTGCGTGAAGAAATCCTAAATCATATAGGAGCTTTTAAAAACTGTACCCAAACAAGGTGGATGGGAAGTCCCCCAGAGGCTTATGACAGAAGAGCAGAAGACTACTCCCTCTGTTGTAGGCAACAGCGTTCATCCCAAGCACAGCAGCCATACAAATTAACCAGCTTTACAACACCCTGTCAGGTGTTTGACAGGCTAATCAAAAAAACACCTCCCTGTTATCCAAGGGCATGTGGGAATGAAATGTCCATTGCTAATTATTGGTAAGGTCGTTGGTGTCTGGGGCTGTGCGAGGATTTCATATGGAATGCAAACAGGGTGCTGGGATGGCCAAACAGCTGCTGCATTTAAAGCCTGACCATGGTGTTTCCCAGCTAAGTTAATGTGGCTGCACACCCCTCCCATGTAGGCAGAGGAGGGGCTGTTACCCACAACCATAACCATGCAAGCGTTGGGCATGGCCCATGCTGGTCGGGGCAGCTTCTTTGGTGTGCCAAGGTCAGGAAATGTCAGTGTTTTGAGAAACTTTGTCTGAGAAAGGGCCCTTGACTGTCACCAGTGCAGTGACAGCAAAGCAGAGCAGAGGAACGTTCAGCCAGATGACGTAGGCCGCTGCACGGTGTGGCCCCTTCTCTGAATGCCTGGGACCTGTAGGCTGAATGTCCCTGTAGCCAGCTCCCACGGGCAAACACATTTCATTTGTCACATCTTACTTGGCAGGGGAAGCCTCTGTTATATCCCAGGAGCTCCATGAAGAGAGGTGTGCAGGCCGAGGCTGTCTCTCCGGGCTGGGACGCGGCAGCACAGCAGACACACGTTTGCTGTGTACACCTTTTGCATACGCCGGCTCTCTCCTCCTCCACAAAGCTGGAGCGGGCCTAATTAGAGAGCAGAGATGAGCAGCCAATCTGCAGAGGGAACATGACAAAAGTATGTCAGTGCCTTATCACCAGAGCTGGGCAGAGCCCACCAGAGGGCTACTTTCTGCTAAGGCCGTCACTTTCCCCTTCGGCTTTGGGGGTGGTTTTGTTTCATGGTTGTTTGGCAACCAGTCATAGGAAGTATTTTTTTAAGCTTTATTTGCGCCTCTAAGGAAAAAAACATTAATAATTCCTTCCCAAGTTATTTTTAGGCTGCACCCAAGACTGTAAAACCAGCAAAGAAAAGAGTACACGGCATCAGGCTCTAACTGGGCATGGAGTGTTAACACGGAGCATCCAGACTTCAGGAGAATCCCTCTTCCCCTTTCAGCCCCCAGTGATTTCTTCTTTCTTCCGCACACATGACACACACCACTGTAGGGGGTTTATTTGCTACTGCTGGGACCTGGGATGGCTGGTGGAGACCACGTGAGGCAGCAGCACCTACAGTGTAGTTTGCCCCCAGCCCAAGAAAAGACCTAGGGTCTTCCTTTATCTTTTTGAATTTTTGTGCGAAATATTGCTTTTAGTAAGGTTTGAGCTGAGATTCTATTTTAGGTGCCTGGTTTTGTATCTGGCATTTTAAAAAATATCCTGCAATTACGAGTTGCAGAGCTTTAAGAAGTTTGGAGGTTGCCACCAATAATCCATTATTCACTAGCACCACCACAACGAATAGCTCATATTCCCCAAAAATTTAGAACAGGACACAGCAAAGGTTTTCCCAGTCCTTTGAACAGTAACTACACAGGCGTATGAAACCCTCTGAACATGGAAGTTTCTCTGTGGGACCTACAAGTAAAACTCAAGCAAGGGGTAGCTTTCTTCAGACCCAGGACGTGTGCCTCAGAGCACGTCTATCCCAAGACAACCCTGAGCATCTGTTATTTTGCTGACAGTGGGAGCTGGGCACACACGTGTAACGCTGTACACGCTGACTGTGCATAAGTATATAGATCTGGGAATGTTTCCCACAGCCATACCCAGCACGGAGGGCTGCAGAGACTCAAAATGGGAGCTGAAGGTATGTGCCCAGCCCTACAGAAGGCTTTACTCCATTTTTTGTATCCTCTCTCATTTTTCAATCTCACAATATTCATGTACAAGAGTATTTCCAAACTATAAATGCTTGTGAACAAGCAGTACCTTGTAAAACTGTGTATGCTACATGTGGCAGGAGAACAGCACTTGTGGAATGTCCACAGCCTCCTCTGTGTACACAGCAATATCTGTTTTGGGGGGTTCAGACTACTGCCCTCGGGTAGTTATCTGCTGCTGGGCAAGGAACTGCCCTCGGGGTGAACCTTCTCATGGTCAATGCACCAAGTGTGCCCTACGAGGCTGCGGGGACCGCACTCATGTATAGACCAGCAGAGCTACTGGCTGAAAGGGTGGCCTGATCCCTGGCACTGCACCCCAGGAAAGCTCAGGGGCTAAGTGGAAAGACGCTGATGAAGGGCAGGGCTCCCTCCAGGGTGGCAGTGGTCCAGCTCTGACCCCCCTAAAGCTGAGCAGAATTTGGCTAACAACAGAGCACCCTGTCCACATGTTTATAATAAGGGCTACATTTCTACCTGGAAAAGGTGATAATCCCTGTAAGGCCTTCAGGAGATAATTAGAGAAAGGCGAGGGGGGGAGGTGATGTGCTTAAGGCACGGCTTTTTTTCCCCCAACTGAAAGGGAACAGGCAAAAAGAGGTCCATATACTCAGGGAGTCTCATCTATGCACCACCTACGACAGCAGACAGCCCTTGTAAAGCCCTGAGTGCCTTACTGGTGCTTCAGAAAATCCCCCAGCTCTCTCTTAGCCCTTAAATCCCTGCAAACATCCCAAAGTAGCACAGGGTCCTCGGGTGCCGCAGACAGAGCTGTGTGTAACACAGCTAACTGCACTCCTGCAGCCCGGCTACAGAAAACAGGATTGCTCAGGCTTGCAAAACAGCGTGAGAACCTGCGAGTGAAGCCTGCAGACTTCTTCCTTGTTCCCAGTTTACTCGGGAATAATTGTTTGCTTCAGCCAAGCTCTTCCTGATCTATATCCACAGATCAGCATCGGGCTCAGCGCTGCAGCCTGTCATGCGCTATCTCCAACATGAAAGCAGGCAACAGAGATAGGACGGGGCAATTTTCTCCCCAACCCCGCTCTGCGACAGCGTTGAGGATGTCACAGCTTTTCGGCACGAGGCAGCAAATCGGGAGGCCGGTCCTGGCTTTGAGTCACTGCCTTTCAAGCCTGAGCATCTGGGCAGCTGTTTGGCCCTGAAATTGAGGTGCCATTTTCCAGAGCACGCGTGGTTGTTTTGTGGTTTCCATTGTTTACGCGGTGGAGAACCCCAGCTCTCATTCTCCGGGTACCTGCCCGCCTCCCACCAGTCTTTCAGGTCTCGTGTTTGGCCGAGAGCGTCCCCGGGAATCTCCAGTCGCATCTTGCTGGTCCCAGCCACGTGGCCGGTGTGGGCTCCTGCCCCTTCCCTGGGAGGCTTTCAGGCAAACAAAGGAGTGACCCGTGTCTCTCAGTGCGATGCCGGGGAGGGCAGCGCGCAGACACCCCGTCCCAGGGATGAGAGGCTCTGATGCTAATCGCCCGCCTTTGATCCCTTCGCCTTTCAACTAAAGCTCCCTGTCTTCTCCCTGTCTCCCCCCAGGGCTCTTCTCCAAATGAGGACCTGTGCAGCTGCCAGGGCACATGATAGGAAGTGCCACATCCAAGCAGATGAGAAATCTCCAGCCTCGGCCAGGATCTTCTAGAGGTAATTGTGGGTGTTTGCATAGCGCACAAGCAGAATCGGTACCGGTTCGTGCAGCTGAGGACACGGCTGCACCACTGCACCACTGCCTAGTCTGGGCGTGCAAACAGTCCTCGGTGAGAGCAAGTGCAGCCTCTGGAGAGACAATACAAAGCTGAGACCTCAGCTGCATGTCTGCCAGCCCCAGAAAACTGGGGCTTGCTTTCCTAACCCAAAAACCAAGTAAGAGGTTCAGTCACTAGAAACCAAAGCCAATTTCTTGACATCAGTGAGCTATTAGAGATGGGTGATGCTGCGCTCACAGCCCTTGTAGATCTTTTTAAGAGAGAAGGCTTCTTTTAAGTGTAATTTCTGCACACCGCTACTAGAAATGTTAATATTTGACAGCTATTTTCATCTTACTCAAAATAAGGATTAAATGAGATTTCCACAGCAGGTCATTTTCATGGTCTGGGGCTGAATTTTATGTCACTCTTTAGTTAGTAGGTTTTAAATAGTTGCTTTTAAATGTGTCCCCTAGATCCCATCAGGTTGGATATCAATTCCATCGGCATTGGGAGATGTTATTCCTAACCAGAATCCAAATTTGACCCTGGACAGAGACAGTGGTTTTTTTGTGTTAACTTTTGAAACTCATGGCTGAAGACCAGACCCACGTCTGGGTTTGGATCCAGGTGTCCCATAAAGCATCAAGGCACCCAGGTCCTCTCTGCTCCATCTAACTCCCTCAACTTGTCCAAAAGAGTGCATTCCCAGGCAGATGGCTTCTAGGAATAGTATCAGTATATTAGCCTTGTAACTCATTAATGCTAATAGCAGTTGCATAACGCAGAGCTGAAGTGTGGTTGTACAGTAAGCTAAGAACACAGCCCAACTCTACAAGGTGCCAGTGCTCAAACTGACCCTTGCAATTTGGTGACAGGCGCCCAAAGAGTCTTCAGCTTTGCTTTCCTTTGAGGCCTATTTATCTTGGTTGCTTTGTCAGGTTCCCTGGCACCATAAAATAAAGCTCAAAAAGGGAAGCCATTAAGACAAGAAAAAAGGGCAGAATTCTTCATGATGTTTTTCTGGCTGTTCAAGGCTGCTCCTAACTTTTCACCTGTCTGGGCCAGTTTGGGGGGCTCCTGATGCCATTGTGGTGCCCGGGAGGGACGTGCAGTTCTCTGCCCTCTGCCTCTGGCCATATTTCCCCCTACGTGTACCCAGAAAGACCAAGGCTCAGCGATCTGCCCTTTGCTGGCCCGCCAACCTTCCATGTGATGAAGACAAGGGAGGATGAAGACTGCTGCTGCAACTTTGAAACAACAGAAAATATTAAATAAACCCTAATTCCCCGCTGGTACATATATGCACTATAAATAAACATCATAACTACGTAAATAGCACACAGCTCCTAGGAGCTGGGTCACCTTCTGAAACACCACGCAGAGGAGTTTGCTACTCTACCACAGAGGGACCGTGCTTGGCTAAATCACGCGACTCTAATTTAAACGCATGCTGTACAGTAACATAATTTTTGGAAACCATATTGTTTGGCCCTCCTGAGTGATTCCCAGAAGTAATTCCTGCGAGGAGCACACACCCAAGCCCAGTCAGAATTTCTGGAATGACATTCCAGTTGCTCAACACCTGGTTATGCAGATAGAAGAGAAAACAGAGCGACGCCTTAGCCGGTATAATAGATAAGGGTGTGAGAATTCAGCTGGCTGGCTAGCACATGAAAGTGTGGATGACCTCGCCCCGGGATTGCTCAAGCCAGAGGAGATGGCAGTATCAATACACACATCTCCGTTGGTAGTCACAGGGCAGCTCTCCTCGACGTCTGCTCCTGCCCTAAGATCTTCACCCCCAATGGAGGGAAAGCGCGATGCACATTGAACAACGTGCTTGCAAAGCTGTTTGCTCCTGCAAACCAACTGTGGAAAAGGGTTAATGACATTCTCTCTGCTATTGTTCCATCTAGTGGAAGACCTTCCACCTCTTCAGATAAACTCATCTGCAATTAGAGGGAGGTCGAAGTAACGGGTTCTCTGTTTTCTTCAAACTGAGACTAGTGGCTCCATACATTATCTCCTACGTAAGGACTGGGTGACCTTCCCTGTGTTATATAGAAAGAGGGTCCTCTCAGTCATAAAATCATTGAGTGCACTCAACTGCTTTTATTAAAGCAACAAACAGCTTGAAGCTAATGCCATTTTGCATCTGTGTCCTCAACATCTATCAGGAATGGGCCAAGAATTCCTATTTTGCATCCATAAGCAGAAGAGGAGTGTATCAATAGCAGTCAATTAATTCACCGACTAGCAGATTTTGGCAGTGGTAGCCCAAACTCCTGGGTCAGGCAGGAGGGGTGAGGGGAGATGCTCGATGTGAATTCCTCCTTGTCCCAGCTGAGGTACAGGGACCCGGGGAAGCTGGGATAGGTGCTGCTGAAGAGGGGACCTACAGCCTCACACCAGTGACAGCCGGGGAAGTTCTGGAGGGACTGAGGAACCATGCAGTCTGGTGCTTATACAACAGGCCCAGCACACCTTCTGCAAAACCCTGGGTTGAAATAAAGACCACAATTAAACGATTGCAGGGCGGGTGCTCCCATTTCAAGTAAATGTTTTCCCCTGATGGAGGGAGACCTTCAGCAGCAGTCAGTATGCCTCCTGTTACAATTAGGCTCCTAACCTGGCTACAACATTGATTAAAATGATTAATATAACCCTGTAAAGGCAGCTTTGGTAAACAAAGACCTGTGAGTATGAGTAGGCAGGATGAGATGAGAGAAAAAGGCAGCGAGCAGTGCCTCTCCCATCGGAAGGGAAGGTGCTTGCAACAGACACTAGTACCTGTCCCAAAAGCACCAAGAAGCCCCTCAATCAGCCAGCTGCCTTCCAGCTCCCCCTTTCCTTCCTTAGCAATGAATCAAACCCTTCATTCCCGATCCAGGAAATTCCTAAGCCACATGTTTTTCTGATGATTTCTCTGTGCTCCAAGGAAGAGACAGTAAAGGTGAGGAATTAGGGAAGCAGTCTTCCACTCTCTCCTTTTTTTGTCTGTTTTTTCAGCCTTTCTAACAGCTCCACAATAACTGACACACGAAAAAAACCATATGGGAGCCTCCTGTGACTTGAGACATGAGGTTATATTAGAACATGTCTGGCTGTCTCCAAATCGTGGGAGAAGGGCCAGATCCTCAAAGTTAGTAAGAGCCTTAATCCTTGCTGGGAGAAGAGGATCTCTGAGTATCTGGACCTGGCTCTCTGATGTCCTCATCCTAAATTATTGTTTGGCCTAAATTGACCACTGCAGTGAGAGACAGATGTTCTCCCCCTCAAACCAGGACACCGAGTATATCTGTAACTTGTCACGCAGTAGGTGACACACGGCAAGTCTCTTGGATTCACACTAAATTCAGTGGGGTTTGGACTGGCCCAGTACAGAGTAGCAACAGTTCTCTGGAAATGCCTGCCTCAAGCTCCAGTGAGATGCCACACGTGCGGTTCCCTCTCCCAGCCTGCTCTAAACTATTACCAAGGTTGTCAAGCCAAGCACTCAAAATTCATCATGAACCTTTATTCTGCCTGCTCCAGAGGGCTGGAGCACCTCTTCTATGAAGACAGGCTGAGAGAATTGGGGTTGTTCAGCCTGGAGAAGAGAAGGCTCCAGGGAGACCTTATAACAGCCTTCCAGTACCTGAAGGGGCTACAGGAGAGATAGGGAGGGACTCTTTACCAAGGAGTGGAGCGATAGGACAAGGGGTAACGGTTTTAAATTGAAAGAGGGGAGATTAGATTAGATACTAGAAAGAAATTCTTTGCTGTGAGGGTGGTGAGAGCCTGGCCCAGGTTGGCCAGAGAAGCTGTGGCTGCCTCATCCCTGGAGGGGTTCAAGGGCAGGTTGGATGGGGCTTGGAGCAACCTGGGCTGGTGGGAGGTGTCCCTGCCCAGGGCAGGCGGGTTGGAACTCGATGATCTTTAAGGTCTCTTCCAACTCTAATCATTCTATGATTCTATTCCATGATTCTATATGTGCTTTATGTAAGGCCCTGAAGTAGGGGCTGTACCAGACCATGTCCAGAATTTTCTTTCCTGAATTTCCTTCCACAGAAGCCAATAGCCCAGGCTGTTTCCCTGAAGGACGCCCTGCCTGTTCAGCCCATAAACATCAGTGAATCTCACAAAAGTGTTCAGTGAGAGGGCATCTGAGTATGCAAGAAGGTCAGCACTGGTGGGTACAACTATTATTAGACAGAAAAGGAAAAAGGAGGTGGGAACAAACAGGTCTGGTTCCCTTTACAATGTCATCTATCAACTAGCCAAGCTAGTGCATGAGTAAAGGAATGATCTAAGACATTACGAGTGTGATAGCTAAATGATGACAACTGATGGAGGAAGGTGTTAATTGTAAGTACGGCTGTAGTACGGACAGGGAGTCCCAACATACTCAATTAGAGAGACCCTTCAGCATACTGGATTCAGCAAGCAAACTGCCCACCTACTCCAGGGACAGCAGCATCGTTAATCGCTGTACTCAGCAGGAGTGCAAAGGCAGGACTCAGCCCTCACCTGAAACTACCCATCTTCTCTCTGAAGAAATGAGCCGCACTTTGGCCTTTGGAAGATGCTAGAGCTCTGGCCAGAGAAAATCATAGGTGCACATGGATGTCCACCAGTTAATGATGTAGTCCACAGGATATCGGGCTGAGAACAGACTCACACACGATGGCAAAGCAGCTGACATCTAGTTACAGCTGACAGCTTATCTCTAGAGTACCCGCTTCCAACTGTCCCCTTCTTCTGAAGTCCCACCATTGCCAGCAAGCAGTGCTGGGATGATCCCTTACTTTTAGAAGTGTCACAGAGGCTACTAGAGCATAGGTCTGGGTAACAATGACTCAGAGGTTTGTTTCAAGACAAACACTACTCTTATTTCAAACAGAAGCAGACGGGTGCCTGGTCTGAGCTTTGGGCTGAGCACTCAGCTGGAGACAGCTGGCTCATACCCACAAGTGCTTCTGGCCCAGTGCGCTGAGACCATCCAGACATGAAGTTGTTCAGGTCTCTCTCCTCATGAGAGCCTCCAGGCCACTGGAAACCCATGCTTTTCTGCTCCATGCTACCCATGGGAATTAAACACCTCAGTTTAGCCATGTTAGAAGTTCTTCATTGGTCTGGACGCTGACCCCAACCTGTGGGCCGCCTTCACGCCTGACCCCAGATGATCACGATGGACTTGCCCAGGGTCTGGGCTGACCCTGGCTGCAGTGTAAGAGGAAGAAGTGAGACACTGATCAGCTCTGGAAACTCCCTTGGCCAGCACTGAAGAGCCCACCTGTAGCCTTTTAATGCTTGTAAGCCAGCTCTCTACCCAAAAGGCAGAGCGTGGGAAAAGTGACCAAGGGTATTAATTTAATCAGGCAAACCAATTCCTCTGAGAACAGAAATACTAAAAATTCCTTTGATCTAAAATCTAATAAAAGATATGAAGTCAATAAAAAGGTTTGGGTTTATCTCAAAACATTGCTCTGCTTATTAGCTGAGTGACTGTGCAAGGGAAGCTTCGCTTTAGTATCGCTTTGGTTATATATGCTTTCTGGGAACGGCAATGTTTTCAGGTCATTAAATATTTGTCAGCATGACCAATGAGTTCCCCCTCCTGCTCACCCGCACTGCTAATGCACTTTCCCTGGGAGATGGAATGTTTGCCATACCAAAATAGCAACTAATGAATGAAAGTTCAAGCAGAGCTATAAATAGAAAGGGCACCAGGTTTTCACAGTGCGCATATAAGCTGCTTCCCACCCACTTCCTTTTGTCTGCCATTAACTCCGAGATCTGAAGTGAAATAACCTTTCTGCACTTTGGAAGAACAAACAGCAAAACAATAAAGAGACCAAACTGTTATGAGGAAGTCACTGAAGTGCTGTGTCGGAAAGATGGACAGACTATTATATATATATCTATGCAGTGCTGTGCCCCACAGCCAGAGCTGCCAAAGAGTAATCCTCGATTTAAATTTTAGCAATACTTACGTGGGAATTTGGGGACGGCTGAGTGAACATGCCTTGGGTGGAATTTCACTGTGTTCCTTCTTCTTCAACAGTCATGGAGCAGAGCCAGCCCTCAGTCTATGGGTAACGTGCAGTGGCACCTCCTGGTGGAAACCAGCTTCCAGGTCTGTGGGCAGCAGAATAGGGAGAAAAACATATGATGAGGAGTAGAATAAGAAAAAAAAGCAATAAAAAAAGAAAAAACCTTTTTTTTTAAAGGACAAAACCAACTTGCTTTTCATACCAAAGACAGGGCACACTGGTGCTATGCCAGAGCTGCTTTTCCATGTCAATAAATGCCTTTTCAGGTTGCAACAAGGTGTGTTTAGGAACAAATACTGGTGGAAGGGGGGGTTACAAAGGCAAATGTGGTGGGAAGGTGCTCTAGGACCAATCTCCACTGCAAGACTCAGTCCTCGTTAACAAAGCTCACAAACCCTCACACTACAGTGTATTCTCCTGCGTTTCCCCTGGGCTGGCACTGTCTAGAAGTTCTCTTGTGGAATGCTGTTAATATTCAATAATTGACACTGAGATAAAAACCAAATAAACCTGGAAGAAAGTGGCTGAGTCATGGCAGATTAGGTGGTAATATACTATTTTTAGATTTAGTTGTTGGAAATGGACACCAAGCAAAATCTCACTAAAAAGAAACTCGTGCCCAAAACGTAGGCTCATAAAAATGTAATGAGTTCACAGGTTGGGTTTATTATTGTTTCAGTGTATGATAGGAGATCTGCAGATATAAAGGGATGCCCTTTTCTCTGTTTATGGAGGTTCTTCGGAGGTTGGCATGTGTAACACTTGGCCTGTTGGGAGTTTCATGCTGTTTCTAGGTGCAAATGCACTAATGAGTAATAGAGGAAAGTATCACAACATGTCTCAATGTGTCTCGTCTTCTGATGAGAACTCCAGACCGTTTCTGCACCGCTGTCTGAGCAGAGCTCCCACCTGATCCTTATCGTTTCACTCTGAGAGATGGAGGTGGCTGGAATTTTTTTTTTTTTTTACTTTAAAAATGTTGAGGAAACTAGATGGAAATGATGACAAAACAGCTCCCTGCCTTTTCTCCCCAGCAACAGGACACGCTAGATGTTTGCTCTATCATCTCACTGACCTCAGCGTGCATTCTGCTGGGGGTGGCTGGAGAGGTGGCTGCAACTCACAGGGACTGAATGGGTGGCTCTCATTAACTCAGTGACATCTCAGTGACCAGATGGTCACTGCCAATCTCTTTTCTCCCCCACCCATCCCAAAACACCCCCAAAATGAAGCAGCCTGGGTGAGCAAAGAGCTCTAGTTGTGTTTCTAGAAGTGCTGCAGCGCGAAGCTGCTTACCCCAGGACTTGCACGACGGTACACAACGTGAGCAAGGAAATAAGCTGTCTGGGAAGATGCTGCCGTACATGAAAGCATCTGCCTGCAGCTAGATCCCATCAAAGAGCAGATCTGCGGATTGATTTTCCCAAGTATGACATCTTCCATCTGCAGAGCATTCAAAGGTTCTTTTATTAGCCCCGCTGCTGTTCGTGATTCAAGCAGCTGATGAAACAGCTCACAAAAGGCACTCTGCTCCACAAAGGCTGCCCCAGAAGCGATGCAGGGAGTCCCAAGGTGGGGTGGTGGTGGCAGCAGAGCCCTGGTAACAGGGGACAGGGAAATGCTGCGAGCCCAGGCAACGCCAGCGGTGACACCCAGTGCCGGCAACGGCATTTATCAATCTGTCTTTCAAAGGAATCTGTCTTTTAATCCGTCTCCTACCCCATCTTCTGGGGACAAAGGCCAGGACCCAGCCTGTGCCAGCACGGCTCACAGGAGTGAACAGCAGCAGGAACCCTGCGACTGCTGTCAGTAAAAACCTGCACATTCCCTTATCATTTCCGTCTCTCCACTCTTGTTCTCCACGTGCATGGGCATGCTTTCATGCATTTTTATTTTATTTGCAATGATGTCACGGGCAACCTTTTGATGACTTATGACCCACAACAGGCTGGGTACCACTGGCTTGTGAAAGAATGAAGGGAGAAGAAAGCCAGGAAGAAAGCTGGAATAGCGTTAATTACATAAACTCAGCAACCAAAAGCACAGAAGTGGCACAGGGAGTTTCCACAGGGACCTGCCACGGATATTTTGGGAGGAGCCAGCAAATAAGGGAGGCTTTCAGGGTACCCAAGAGATTTGGACACAGCAGAATACGTCCCCTAGGGCTGAGCACCTGAAGCCTGCAGAGCCACATCAAACATTTTTGGGGCACAGCACACAGCCTGTCAATTTGCTGGGGACTGGGCTCTGCCACAGGATATGCTAATACCATCCGAGAGGTCTGAAAACATCCTGGGAGCAACCACACTCATTTGCATATCCTTCTTCAGAAATGGATTTTATTAGATGGCCTGAACAATTTATTTAGCACAAGCCTGCTTTTATGTCCTCAACCTATTAGAAAGCCCTATTAGACCATTACGCTGTCAAAATAGTCTTTGCTTGTCAGAGGGAAGCTGTTCCTGAGCCATTCCCTGTGCTTTTAATTGATGGGAGAGGAATATGTTGTTCCCCAAGAGCATTTCCTACTGATTCACTTCTCTTTATCATCTGATTTACAGGCCTGATCTTGACTTTTCACCACACCCAGATCTCCCATTGACTTCAAGGAACAGGGCTCTGTGGGGGCAGTGTGAAAGTCACCCAATAAAGGTTTTGAAGAGGAAGCTGCTGAATTCATCACCACCAGAATTTACATAGATCTAAAAGATGCCGACAGATTTGCTGTGGCAAGTATGACGAGCTGTGTCAACTGAAGTGCCACGATGTAATGAAGAAGGACCGTGCAGAGCAGTCATCTATGTGCAGCGACAACCCTTTCCACCCCTGGCAGAGCATGGCATGCCCACCACACAGGCTGTCTGCATCGGGGTGGACCCCCCTCCTTCAGTCCCAGGATGGGAAGGAGCTCTAATTCACATTATTTGCAGCTCATGAGGGGCTCGTGTGTACAGATCCCCTGTCATTTCCTACCGCCCACTCCAAAAGGACACCAGAAGCCGTAGTCCCTAACAGAAGCCAAACACACTGTGATTGTTTCCTCCATGAAGAATTTTCCACTTAGCCAGTCCTCAGCTCAAATTAGAGACTCTGTGTGCTAGATGCTCCATAATCACATGAAGCACGAGTTACCTTCAGAGCCGGCCAAAGACTAGGAGAGTTACAAAGGGCTAGGAGGCAGTGCAGAGAAACGCAGGCGATGCTGCAGCACGGGAAAGCCTGATCCAGCCCCCTCTCTCCAGGCTGTCCCTGAAGAGGTCCTGGAGAGACACCCAGACACAGCGAGGCTTTGCCAGCTGCACCCTCAGTACATGGCACATCCCCAGCGGAGTGACCGCGTGCCTGGATACACCTAACGATGCAGCGATTAATTACAAACACTGCGTCTGTAAGATCTGGAGGGGAAGAAATCTTTTCCTTCTGCTGAGGAGAAAGAGAAATGATACCCTTGCACAGCACCATTTGTATAAATGATTGTGCTTTTTTACCCACGGTTCATCTGCCAAGCTCTCTTGCTTGGGAGGAGCCTGTGTGCGTTTTGATGTGTAAAGTAGGATAATGGATTATCATTATTAAAGGGTTTACAAATTGGGCAGGCAAGCCCCAGGTGAGAGGTCACTCTGACTGTACAAAGGAAAAGGTTTGTGCTGAGTGAGGAAGCTTGGGTTTGAGCAGGGAAAAAGGTTTTGTTCCCCAAGACTGCAGGTCTGTTCGTCTGCCTGAACAGAAATGAGCTCCTGGGCTCTGCGTTTGTCCTGGGTTTCTCAGCTCTGCCCGTTTGCAGCGTGTTGAGCCGGTGTGATAACAACAGAATTCATTCCTGCCCGCACTTTTAATAAATCCGGCTGCTGCAGAGAGGAACTGCAAACAGAATCACAGAATCACAGAATCATTTGGGTTGGAAGAGACCCTTGGGATCATTGAGTCCAACCATCTACCCTACTCTACAAAGTTCTCCCCTACACCATATCCCCCAACACCACATTTAAATGACTCTTAAACACATCCAAGGATGGTGACTCAACCACCTCCCTGGGCAGCCTCTTCCAGTGTCCAACCATTCTTTCTGTGAAGAATTTCTTCCCAATGTCCAGTCTAAACCTACCCTGTTGCAGCTTGAATCCATCCCTCTTGTTCTATCGCTAATTGCTTGTGTGAAGAGACCAGCCCCAACCTCTCTACAATGTCCTTTCACGTAGTTGTAGAGAGTGATGAGGTCACCCCTCAGCCTCCTCTTCCTCATACTAAACAGTCCCAGCTCCCTCAATCATTCTTTGTACAAACAGGCTCTTCACATCGGGGTGCTGGGGAGGGGTAAGGAGCAGGAGGAAAGTTTCTGAATGACTAGGGAAGTTTTAGCTGTCCTTCCCAGAGGGTGAAGTCCTGGGATGGAGATGGAGCCACAGTTTCATTTACTCCAGAGGAGTCCTAGACAGGCTGAGGGCTGCCCTGGGTATTTGGCTGGAGGCTCATACCATAAAGACAGAGATGATACTTGCTTAAACTATGTCAAACTATGTTGCAGGATAAAGGGATGCCGGGTCCTCAGGAGGAAATACGTGGCTGCTGCCAGAGAGGATGGCCAGAGCTAACTAATACAAGCTGAGGCACTGTGTAATGGGACGTCAGGTCACCAGCCCGGAGCCCACTGCTGCTCCCCTTGGTTGTCTGCAGGTTGTCTCCACTTTCAGGGGTGGCAAACACAGGCTTTGGCCACAAAAGAGAAGTCTCGTGAAACGAAACTGAAAGAGGAATCAGCAGTTTGGGTTTCCCAGAAGGCTGAGGAGGGGCCTCGTCCAGCACTTGGCAGAGGATAATCACTGGTGTCACCAGCTACGGTGACACTGCTCCTCATCCCAGAGCAATCCTTCCCTTCTACAGCTGCAACTCCTGCAATTATACCCAATTCCCACCTTTGGTTTTAAAGAAAGACAGGAAAAAACTACTTTTCCAGCCCACAGGGTTATGGAAAGGTATTAAAATGCTTGACGCCTGAATTCTGAAAGATGATTAGCAAATAAATGCAGTTCAAAATATGTCAGCTAAAACACCGTGTCTCATCAAGTTTACACCAACCTTAAGAGC